TCAGAACCCAAAGATAGCATTACTTCTACGGGACACATGGCCTGTACATGCAGAACGATGAAGCAAACTCGGGGGGTTACCCCCTCGATTACCAGCATCAAGTTGGAGTTCCAGTGTCACCATGCCTAGGTCGAGTACACATTCCAGTCTTGAGTAATATATGCCCTGTACCATTCACTTGATTACCCACCTTTCTTACGGAGTGGTCCCCATTCCAGGGTATGAGTGAATCGAATAGATACTCCGGCTGGGAGATGAAGGGCAGAAGCGATTTCATCCCGCAGGTCTATTCCTCGAGGTGGCAATGCTCCTGAGCTCTTCCTCTGTCAGTGTGTCCATTCTCCGACCTGCTGCGCAGTCCGGTAGTAGTCGCTCTGCCAGCGTCTGATTGCGGGTCGCCTCCTCTCCAGAGATCGAACGTGCCACGCCGATTGTTTCCTGACATTGCAGCATCTGCAATCCAACCCTGTGTGGAAGTGAGGTACTAGATACTAGGCACGGTGATGCAAAACATTCACTCCACCATGCCCTAGTCCCTCGCCGCGTCGCCGTCTGTTTCTCACAAGCGCCAAACCTCACGTCCCTTGCACTGTCATGATAACAGCTTAACAGCCAGAGCTACGCGCGAGACTCTGAGCCATCAGCAGTTTACCCTCCTCGTAATGTGTTTTCATGTGCTATATCGCATGCCGTACTAACTTTCATGAACGGGCACCTCAGCCCCACCCCTTGTCTTACGAGCGATCTTCCAGCAAATTGACACTGAATGTTCCCCTACTCAGAGACCGACCTACAGCAATTAGCCACTTGGGATGACGCCACCTTCTCTCCGATGCCTGAGGCTAGAGCTACTTCGGTTCCGGCTGTCAGCCAGAGCGCTATTGGGAACTGCACCGTTAAAGTGCAACAGCTAAAGGGACCCCATCGACGGGAGCATCAGTTGTCCCTGTCGTGGCATTCTCAGTCACCCCAGAGGTGCGGAAGTAGTCCTCCTAAATCGCGATGATGACTAGAGCGAGAGTTAAGGGGCGAGTTACGTTTATGTCTTGCTTTCGTTGGGGCCTGCAGCGCCGTGCTAGGTCATGTGAGGATTGGGATAGTCCAGGTAGCAGCCGCTGGGCAATCGTACCCCATGTGCTTCTTCCCGGCCTCGGATCAGATCCGCCCCAGAGACGTCTGCGGTGCCTACAAGCCCGTAGGGAGTACATGTTACGAGGCGTCAGAGAATGTGAAGAGTGGGAGCTTACAGCCAGTGCGACAGGAAGTATCGAGTTGGGCATGAGACTCCGGGGATCTCAGCTGATGGGTCTCGATCCCGTCACTCGGCAGCGACATTGCCCTCCGGAACCCAGTTTTGCAGACTGGAAAAGGTTTTCTTCTGCGCCACCTGTTAGGGGCAGACATGTTCTCGCTCTTCCTAGAACGAACGCTAGTCATCACTAGAGCGATGCGCAACTCTTCCGCATTGGGGACCGATTCTACGGACGCTAAGTTGCGGCAATCACGCCAATCTCTCTTGCATCTGCCTGCTATTGTACACGAGTGCGGTGCTCGATTGCTGGGTCCGTATCTCACTCTGCCTCTTCTCTCATCCACCGGTTGCTTGATCTCAGCCTAGCTTGGGCTATGGACAGCAACGACGAAAACTACCGGTCCAGGCTCCAGAGGCAGATACGATGTAAAGCATTTCTCGTTGGCTGGAACTTAGTAGTAAGTGAGTCAAGCCGAGATTGTTGACCGGCGAATGTCGTCGGGGCCGTAATAGATGTCTTTTCGATGTCGAGGCTACCCTCGCCGACGAGACATGTGCGCGGAGCGTTTGAAGCGCCGAAACCGTTCAACGCCCTAATGTATCGGAGACGTTCCGCAGGTCTCATGGGTGACGGTGGAGGACAATACCAGGTCTTGATCAACCCGCTACGATGTTGTCAGGCAGACGGTCTCAAGAGGACGAGGGCAGCAACGGCTCCCCAAGCTGAACAAGGGTGGTCTCTGAAACAACGCTTCCTGACCATCGCAACATCAGAGTGACATGGTCCTGCCCCTGTTGCGCTACTGCGGCCCCTCTCGCATGCTCTGACGACCCTTCGATGGACGTCCAATGAAGGTTATTGGGAAGATAACTAACACTTGGATCCTGGTCATCAGAGCCACTAGCATCGGCCGATCCGTCCAACGGCGTCGGGGCGGAGCTCTGGTTTCGTGACGTACTCACGGCTAAGTGAAACTCTCGTGGAGTCCCACTGGCAAACACCCTCAACCAGCGTAGCTGGTGCGCGTTCCACCTCTACAGAATGCACATAGATAGTCTCTTGCAGGTGTTTTACAGCAACTGATCTGGCTATTCACCCTTTCCAGCCTACTGCTGTTCGATGTGGCCGGAAGGGGGTTAGTCGCCGGGCCCATACGACAGGATCAAGGCGACACAGGGCCGTCCGTGACGGCGAGAAAGGGGTACTCCCTGCACACGCGAGAGGGGTGAGACAATAGCGTGGATATCATGGACAAGTCGGAGAGCGATGACGGCGTCTGTGTCCAGGGCTCTATCCCTGCAGATGACCATGGGGCAAGACATTTGTGATTCCAGACGTGGTCATCCCTTAGCATCGATCAAACCGAACAACTCCTTGCCCTTGCCCGGCCCTTGTCCTCCCTTGTCCTCGAAGTATCTATCCATCGAGGCCATAACTGATGGCGCTGGCGACGGCATCTATGTGCATCTACTTCGTGCCTGCCAGCTGGTGTCGCAGGACATGTACAAGGCACAAACGCTGAGCAAGACCATCGTGCCATAGTGCGACGCTCAGAGCTCCTGAGCTGTAACCGCAGCAGTGACGCCCACTTCTTGAGATGGTTGCTCCACTGACAGGGAAGGCGCACTGCTCCAGCTCTTGATCCAACAGGCGCACCAGGTGCCATCTCACTAGCAGATGCAGCATCTGAAAGTGTCCGTCTGTATACAGCCCTGGATCTTGACGCTCTAAGACAGTTACCCGCGTTCCATGAGCTCTGTTCTTCCTTGACTGTTACCAAACCCTTACGGTCAGGTGCAATCGTTTCCACTGCACCTCGGGTCGCCGTGTCAGGGTTTACCATGCGCAGCGACAGGCGGGCACCGCTCGACCCGCTCGGGCTCTCGGGCGGGGACATGTCCGACTTCGGGGGCTCGCTGGCACCGTAGGCGCGAGCAGAACGTACGATCGACCGATTAACCGACACTTGCATACCGACATGAGCTGTTTTCCCCGCTATATCCTCCGGTCCCTCTGGTCCCAATTTCTTGGAGTAGTGGAACGCTCTTCGCTCCGTGTCACAGCCTGAGACAGCTTCTCGTCACGGCGTTTACGGATATCCGCTATCGTCATCCCTGGTCGTCCCTAGGAGGTGTGGGCCGGGTAGCCTGGACAGCACGAGCGCCGGGCAGTCAACTCTGGAATGGCCTGGGCGAGTCTGGTCACCGAGTTCTGAGTTTATCCAGTCCGGGCGTGCAGCAGTGCCCTGCCACCCTCCGATCCATTGGTTGATCCGCGTACCTTGGGCGGCCGGGCCGGGGAGGGCCGGCGCTGCTCGGCGAAGTCGATCCCTTTCCAGACCTGCAGACCCAAAAGACAATACGTACGTCCACCTGCCTCAGCGACTGGGTTGGTTCATGGCAAAGCCGATCCACAACTTGGCGCGGTGGCAGGAGCACCTGTGACGCCGAAGTAGGCGCCATCCGCGGCGCGGCGGCGCGGCGGCATGCGTTGGTGCGGATCCAGCTCGGCTGCTGCAGCTCAGTGTGATAGTGTAGCAATGAATGCAGTGCAGCGCTGTGGTGGCCGTGTGCCGTGTGCTGGGCGTGCGGCGTGCGGTGCGGTGCAGAGTGTACCTTGAGGCCGTACGGGGTACGGGGTACGGGTCGTCTGGTGTGTCGACTGGACCTGGGTGGACCTGGATTAGCACCGTTCCTGTCGACATGGTCTCAGCCAGCCTGCCCAGCTGGCGAGCAGCCATCCCAGAGCGGGGCTTTGTTGGACCCCCGGTCCCTTGCCATGCCCTGTCGCCCTGCAGTCTGGACGCGACCGTTGGTGTTCTTCTCCTTTGCTGTCTCCTTCGCTGTATCCTATTCACCCCCCGCCGGGTGTCGGAATCCTGATGCCTAACACCTGGTGGCCTGAAGCCATCCCACCACGCCAGCAACCAAGCAGTCCAGTCAGCTCAGGTTTGCGGTGCAGAGCCAGCCAGGCTTCAGCCTCTAGCCTCTGGCCCTCCACCTTCACCCTGCCGGATTAGCCCCTGAGGCTCCTGGCTCTGTCCTGGGACTCTCCTGAGGTGCTGTTTCCGCGATGATACAAGAGGGGCAACGGGGCTCGCGGGGGCTCGAACTAGCACAAAACGAGCACACCATTGCTCCAGTCCTCCCACTCCTCTCCGTCGTACACCCGCGAAAGCGATGCACCTTCCCTTCCCCGTCTGCTCCCAGCGAGCGGACCAGCGTCTTCCGCAGGACGTATCCGACGCGTGCATCTCTGACCGTCCAGTTCGCGGAGTTCGATGCCTCCCACCTCGTCCACACCACATGCATAGAAGTCTCGGTCATAAGAACATGTCGCTTCTAGGGAAGGCCCGGGAAGGCCGGATGTGTGAGCCCTCCTCTCCGGCTGGCTGGATGGCTGAGGCACACAAACAAAGCCAACGAAGCTTGCGTGCGTCTTCCTCCCTGCGCGCCAGCCCGCGCCAGCTGCACCGCTCTCATGAAGCCAGCGTGCAAGGCACACTCAAGCGCACATTGCAATTGTGCAATTCGCGCGCTGTTTAACCTCGGGAATTCCGTCCTATTCGCTGACTCCTGAACGACGTTTCGGACTGCACCCGTCTTCCTCTGGTCTGCACATGCGCTCAACCAGTCAGCAGTCAGCTGCAGTCAGCACCAAAGGGGAGTTGCAGGCGGTCTGGATCAATCCAGTCGGCAAGAGCTGTCATTTGCGGTCCGACATCCGCAGTTTGTCAGCAAGACTTGATCAGATTAGATGTTGACCTTGCCTGGGAACATGGATGCCGAGGTCAGATAACAGAGCGTCCACATCTTTTCGGGTCGTGATCTCAGGTCCGAGGAACAGGAACGAGGGAAGGATGGTAGACACCTCGAGCGGTGCTGGCGACTTGGGCGCTGGCGGCAGCACAGACGGCGTCATCCCCACTCCAATTGTGCCGCCAGAGAGAGGTGTGCCGTACGAAGACGACCCGGCGGATGAGGTGGACACTCCCGTCCACGGTGAGCCCACAGGTGGCTGAAGCGAACTCGTCAGGGGCGTCTGCTGGTCCCCCATGCTCCGGTTCGATCGGGCACTGAGGAAGCCACTGCCGCTACCGCCGGAGGGGAAGGCGCTGTGGGGACCTCCACCGACCCCGAGCTTGTTCGAGTCCCCGACGTTTATTGTCAAGGTGGACAGCTTTGGTCGGGACCCGCGCGATGGCTTCGCCCGCTTGGGTAACGTCGCGCTCATCGCAGTCCGGTCGAGGTTGATACACAGCTTCGGTGGCCGCGGTGACTTCATCCCTGTATCCAGTGTCAAGCTCGGGAGGTTCATAAAGACCCCTGGCGCCCCAAGCTGGCCCCCGGACCTTCGGCGCGGCTGTCGGTGAAGGGGAAAGTCGGCAGACGTCTGTAGGGTAGCTGACGGAGCCGAAGAACGGCGCCGCGAGAAGCGGCGGGCATGCGTGTCCCGACAGCCGATAGTCCGCCGCGGAGCGGTCGCCGCGAGATCTCATTGTCTGTCGAGATGACGCACGTGCAAGCTCGCTTGATGTGCACGATATCTTGTTGTGCTTTGTCAGAATGTCCTTCGCTCTGTCTGCCAGCGCTCAGCTTCGAGTACACCGTTGTCAAAAAGTCGCTTTGTTCCATTGCCGATCAGCTGACAACCCTCGGTGTGCGCCGGCGCTCGAGAAGCGGTTTACCTGCGGATTACCTGTCCCGCAGGTTCGCGAAGCTCGCCGACATGTCTCTCTGAAAGGAGAGCCCGTGTCGTGCGTTCCCAGAGCGAGATTATTCCCATTTCGTTCATATGCCCAAAGCATGTGCCCAAGCGCAGCCCGGAGCGACACTCGACGAAAACTAGATACCCAAGCACCTCATCAATCCTGACTACAGGTCGATACCTTCGTCTGCTGACGTCTAAACCGCCACGTCCGGGCAAAGAGGCGGCTGGCCGAGCCTCTCTTCTTCAGAGATAAGCAGAGATCGCCTTTTGCAAAAGCGGTAGCTCGTCTGTCCGCTTACCGTCCTCCGCGCAGCCCTTCTGTTCCTTCTGCTGGAGACAAACAAGACACTCACGACCACTGACGACAGGTCCGCGCGTCCTCTTGCTCGTCCCTCAGGCCATTGGGCAAAGCTGACAAGGAGCCGCGAGTAGCGCAGTGCAGCAGTTGACAGCGAAACAAACTCCCTTCGAAGTCGGGTCATCTTCTGTAATCTGGTGAATCCAGCTTCCACTTCGACTTCCAGCCTTGTCCAGCAGCTACTCTGTCACTACACAGGTCACAATTTCCTCATACTTTTCCCGCTCGTCGTCCGCATGGTCACACGACACCATCCACCACTGCCCGACCGTGCACGACGACTGGCGTGTACCGACAATTGCAGCACCCACAGCCACTTCCCCGGTCGTGCCCTCAGCTCGTCCGACTCGGTTCACTGGACAAACTGGCCACAGTGTGCCGTCGCGTCACTTACAGCGGCGTACAGGCAGTCCGCCGACCCACTCGCATCCGTGCACAGGAGCCGTGCACAGGAGCATATGCACAGCTCGGTCTGCACCATGACTCGGTGCTTAGTGCCGTTCACGTGTACTCACTTCGCTTTTTCGCCCGCGAGACGGATCCCAACGTGCTGATGTCGAGTCCTGGTGGCAGTGGCGCTACCTTCAGCCCGTGCTCGGAACTTCAGTCGTGCGCCACGGCGAACGGGCTGTCACCTTCCGCTGGCGATAAAGGGGATTCTGTGCTCGCGTTTGGGGTGCACGGCACCTCAACTCGAGCAGGGGACGCACCGACGTCAAGCAAGATGCTTGCAAAGACTGTTGGCCTTCCGCGGATCGCCCTGTCTTGCTCACATCTGGTTCACACTTTGGTAGAGCAGGCTGAGCTGAGCTGTCATTAGCCATACAGTAAACTTTGCGCACGTTGGTCAAGCACGTCAGCCGTTACTATCGTCGCCCAAATGCGCCACACCTAGACAACAAGGAAAGAATAACATGGAGAACCCTACTGTACTGATATGCTACTGCACAGTTCGCGGTCGGCGGCCCGCGGCTCACTCGCGGCCTCGGCCGGAAGTGCAGGGGATTAATACTGTGGCACGAGGTCCTCATTCTGAGGCGTCGCTGGGCGGAGCTGGCAGATTGCCATACTCTCGAGACCGGCCTTGCTGACCCGGCGGCCGGGCTGCAGCGTGTCCTTGTCGACGGGGGGACGGCGGTGGTGCACCCACTGGCCGTTCTTGCGCACCTCGATCTCGGCGCCGGCGGCCGTGCTCGGCCGGCGATGTCGTGCCTCGGGCGTGCCCTCTGGTTCTTCCACGACGGGCTCGACGAGCGCGGCGCCATAATTCATCGCCCACTCTGGTGGGAGCGACTCGCGCGTGTACCGCGGCCCGAGACGGGGCTCGCGCGCGACGATGTCGTCTTTCTTCTCCGCCGCTGTTACGGTCGCCTTGCGACCGAGCTCCTGCTCCTCAAATAGTATGAGCTCAGCGACAAAGCCGATGTTGGGACTGATCCCATGCCGTCGCTCGGCGACGTAGGCATACGACGTCTTGAGGGTCCATGCGTTCGCATGGATCAGGTACGCCAGCACGACCGTCACACTTCGCGACTTGCCCGCCTTGCAGTGCACGTACACTGGCGCAGAGTGCAGACGGGCGTCGTCCAGGATGTTGATCGCATCCTTGATGCCTTGCCCGACGCCCGACGCCTCCACACTGTCCTTCATCGGTATCCGGTAGTATCGCTCGAACGACGTCTTCAGCCCTAAGCCTTCATCGTCGTCGCACTCAAACGCCACATTCAGAATTCGCCGGATGCCTAAAGATAACAGAGCGTCCACATCTTTTCGGGTCGTGATCTCAGGTCCGAGGAACAGGAACGAGGGAAGGATGGTAGACACCTCGAGCGGTGCTGGCGACTTGGGCGCTGGCGGCAGCACAGACGGCGTCATCCCCACTCCAATTGTGCCGCCAGAGAGAGGTGTGCCGTACGAAGACGACCCGGCGGATGAGGTGGACACTCCCGTCCACGGTGAGCCCACAGGTGGCTGAAGCGAACTCGTCAGGGGCGTCTGCTGGTCCCCCATGCTCCGGTTCGATCGGGCACTGAGGAAGCCACTGCCGCTACCGCCGGAGGGGAAGGCGCTGTGGGGACCTCCACCGACCCCGAGCTTGTTCGAGTCCCCGACGTTTATTGTCAAGGTGGACAGCTTTGGTCGGGACCCGCGCGATGGCTTCGCCCGCTTGGGTAACGTCGCGCTCATCGCAGTCCGGTCGAGGTTGATACACAGCTTCGGTGGCCGCGGTGACTTCATCCCTGTATCCAGTGTCAAGCTCGGGAGGTTCCTCCCGATGGGGCTCAGAGACATGGAAGGATTCGGTATCCCCGTTTGACTTGGGGCGGGGGCGTTTGCTGATGATGGAGGAATGAGCAACGTCGACGGCGCAGAATTGCTAGCTGGTGGGGCGACGCCGGTAGGAGGTCCAGGTGACGGTAACGGTTCAGCTGCCTCCTCTGGGTCTGACGAAACCGTCATGTTCGCCGCCTGAGCCTGGTCCGCGATGGACCTCCAACCGCCATCCAGCATCCGCACTCGTCCCTCCCTCACCAGCGGGGTCAGCACGTCGACCAATATCCGAGGCTTGTCGACGTCTTCACCGTCTGTACCGACCACGACGACGTCCATCTGCGAGTCAATGTCGGCACTGTCCCACTCCCGTCGACCAGCTGGTGTCGAAACGAAGGACCCGACGGACGCCCAGCTGATGGGCTTGTTCGCTGAGAGGTGTTTCCGTAGTCGGTTGAAGATGAGAGACGGGATGGAGACGTGTGCTGTCCGCGGGAGATGAGCGACGAGAAAGTCGTCAAGTGGTCGTGTGTCGATGATGAGCAAACTAGAAGACGAGGACGCAAGCGCGATTGTCTCATCCGGGCCGATGACCGTATTGTTGTGGGACGGAGATGGCGGTGCAGATCCCTTGTCTGATTCCCAGTCCATGTTTTCCAACGGAATGGGTCGCTCCTTCAGGTTCTTCTGCATGGACTGGCGTAACTCGAGCAGTTCCGTGCTAGTGGTGCTGCATGCTGTGGACGCAGTTAGCGTACACACATACACTCATACGCAGCGGGAGGGCGATGAAACAACGTACCACTTCCAGCAGACATTCCCGTCAACGGGGCCGCTTCATCCTCGATCAACTCCTTCTTCTTCAGGTTGAGCGGGCTCGGCCGCCGTTTCGGAACAGAGCCCTCTATCGTGTTTGCGGATGAGGATGGCTCTCCGGGTCCCGTCTGGTACGATTCTGGTGGAAACGGCTTAAAGGACTTGTGCGAGTTGACCCAGCCGGCGACCGACTGCTGCGGGAGGAAGGTCACTGGCGAGTCGGAGTATCCCGAGTCCGACGTCAACGTCAGAATCGGCGTCGTCGGAGTTCGTAATCGAGTCGACGTCGAGTCGTTCGTGCCCGTCGAGAGGGAGATGGAGAGCCCGCACGCCTGCTCCCGCGAAAGCGTCCGGTCGGCGTGATCGCTAGGGGGCACGTCGAGCGACATCATCGGCTCCCGATTCTGCGACGACGAGGACGAGCCCGGTGACGGCGGCGCCTCTCCTGACACGTACGCACCCGGCATCGGCAAGATGTCAGGAGTACTGCCATTGCGGCGCCGGTCTTGGTCCATTGTCCTTAACTGAGGCTGAAGAGGGGCACAGTGAAGTGGCTGAGCCAGCCCTCTTTAGCCCGAAGTGGTGCAGTCGACGCGATGATGACGAAGGAAGACAAAGACGGAAGACGCAGAGCCGAGAGGAGAGCGATGCAAGCGCAGGATGTCGAGTGGTTGGAGGGAAGAGCAAGAGCGAGGAAGACGGAGGGATGGCCTGGAGATCAAGGGTTCAGTCAGGTCAGGAGACAGTTGTGGGGTTTGCGAGCTGAGAACGGACAACCCGAAGGTGTCGGCGAAGACAATCGGTGTGTGGAGTTCGGGTCAGAGGGATGCAAGAGGTGTGTGGTGTGTGTATGTGTGTCGCGAGAGTCGGGCGATGAGTGGTGACTCGCCCAGTCGCCGGTGGACTGGGGAGGCGGGAGTTGGACGGCGGATGGAGAACGCGTCGGAACGATTGCAGCGGGCGATCAGGGGCCGGGGGGCGGTAGAAGATGGGCTGCGGCGGCGGGGAGGTCTGTGTGTCGAGAAAGAGTGCAAGGGAAGGACGGTGGGGTCGGAGATGTCGACAATGAGCAGTGAGAGTAGAGTGGTGAGAGTGTGTGATAGTGTAGCAATGAATGCAGTGCAGCGCTGTGGTGGCCGTGTGCCGTGTGCTGGGCGTGCGGCGTGCGGTGCGGTGCAGAGTGTACCTTGAGGCCGTACGGGGTACGGGGTACGGGTCGTCTGGTGTGTCGACTGGACCTGGGTGGACCTGGATTAGCACCGTTCCTGTCGACATGGTCTCAGCCAGCCTGCCCAGCTGGCGAGCAGCCATCCCAGAGCGGGGCTTTGTTGGACCCCCGGTCCCTTGCCATGCCCTGTCGCCCTGCAGTCTGGACGCGACCGTTGGTGTTCTTCTCCTTTGCTGTCTCCTTCGCTGTATCCTATTCACCCCCCGCCGGGTGTCGGAATCCTGATGCCTAACACCTGGTGGCCTGAAGCCATCCCACCACGCCAGCAACCAAGCAGTCCAGTCAGCTCAGGTTTGCGGTGCAGAGCCAGCCAGGCTTCAGCCTCTAGCCTCTGGCCCTCCACCTTCACCCTGCCGGATTAGCCCCTGAGGCTCCTGGCTCTGTCCTGGGACTCTCCTGAGGTGCTGTTTCCGCGATGATACAAGAGGGGCAACGGGGCTCGCGGGGGCTCGAACTAGCACAAAACGAGCACACCATTGCTCCAGTCCTCCCACTCCTCTCCGTCGTACACCCGCGAAAGCGATGCACCTTCCCTTCCCCGTCTGCTCCCAGCGAGCGGACCAGCGTCTTCCGCAGGACGTATCCGACGCGTGCATCTCTGACCGTCCAGTTCGCGGAGTTCGATGCCTCCCACCTCGTCCACACCACATGCATAGAAGTCTCGGTCATAAGAACATGTCGCTTCTAGGGAAGGCCCGGGAAGGCCGGATGTGTGAGCCCTCCTCTCCGGCTGGCTGGATGGCTGAGGCACACAAACAAAGCCAACGAAGCTTGCGTGCGTCTTCCTCCCTGCGCGCCAGCCCGCGCCAGCTGCACCGCTCTCATGAAGCCAGCGTGCAAGGCACACTCAAGCGCACATTGCAATTGTGCAATTCGCGCGCTGTTTAACCTCGGGAATTCCGTCCTATTCGCTGACTCCTGAACGACGTTTCGGACTGCACCCGTCTTCCTCTGGTCTGCACATGCGCTCAACCAGTCAGCAGTCAGCTGCAGTCAGCACCAAAGGGGAGTTGCAGGCGGTCTGGATCAATCCAGTCGGCAAGAGCTGTCATTTGCGGTCCGACATCCGCAGTTTGTCAGCAAGACTTGATCAGATTAGATGTTGACCTTGCCTGGGAACATGGATGCCGAGGTCAGCGCAACACACGGACGCCGTCACGCACATGAACATGACAGGGAACGAGCTCATCTTCGGCCTCCACTTCAGCTTCATGGACATTTAGCAGTAGCGCATGGCAAACAGTATGCAGATATGCAGTCATGCGAGCGAGGAAGGTATAAGGTACGCCCGCGATTCTCGCCAGGCTGAAGCGCAGGCCGAGTCTGTGCGCCCGAGAGAAGCCCGATGAGGCCGATACGACGTGAGCTTGTCCAGGCGCCCAGATGCCAGATGGCGCAACGGATAACGCCCAGCCTCAAAGCTTCGCACGATCGTCACTTGCCTTCGCTCTTCTCACCAGCTCACCACTCGACTGCCCACCTCAACACTGCGAGAACGGCGCTCACCACCGACGCTCACGAACGGCACAACATCCCCAAAGCCAGCGGCCAGCGGCGATCTCCGAGCTGACCAACCCACCGACGCTATCGACGCCCAGACCCGGGCTGTTCGCTTCCCTCTGTACTCGACAGCCGGCGCCGATCGTGGGGCGGCGCCGGACTGGTTCCAGCACTCCTGTCCGCTCACTACGGCTCGGCGCTGCTCCACCACCCCTTCCGAGCTAGGCATCTCTCCGCCGGCGTCGACGCTGTTGCCCAATCTCGACGTCGTCTGCGCCTCGGGCCCGTCCACCTACCATCAGTCTGCGCAGATCCGGTAGCATAAGCTCGTCAGCCTAGCCTTCCTTGGCCATTAACTCCAGCCCTGTCCCGTACTTCGGTCCTCAAGCCGCCAGCGACGATGCGCCTCCCACCCGAACTCCTCGCGCTCGTGATCGCCCACATCCCCGCTCGGCAGAAACGCACCCTCGCCGCACTCATGTCCGTCAGCAGCGCCTGCTACGCGCTAGCGGGGAAGAAGCTGTACGCCGAGCTGCGGGTGAGCAGCGGTAATCTGGCGGGCGTGCTTAGGGGGCTGGATCGGGGGGCTTGTGATTGCGCGGCTGTCACGCCGCCGTCGTCACCCGTGCGGGGGCGGTGTCCGGTGACGCCGACGGCATCGCAGACACTATCGAGTGGGCCAGGAGAAACCGCAAAGGACGCAGACGGCCCGGAGACGAGTGCAAGGTGCGGATGCCCCTGCGCTCCCCACGACACTGGGCCCACGAATGGTCCCCCGAAACGCAGATATCCCAACCCAGCCAGCGACGAGCGGAAACGCGCCCTACTCGCTTTCACGCGATATCTTACCGTCGAGTCTGTGCCGGACTGTCGGTGCTGGTCCCCGCCTACCACTGTTCGTACGCCTGGCGTGCTTGGCGGTCCGATTGGCGGTCCCATCGGCGCTGCTGCCGCGACGGCGTGCCCGCTGAACAAGACGCTGCTCCCGAATGTGCGCGTTGTGAGAGTCATGGCGTGCGTGCCGCAGCATGCTGTTGTTGCTTTTGAACGGAGGCGGCGCTAGGTTATGGAGTTGTCACCGTTTATCAGAGTTGTCCATTGTCCGCGTGTGTACATATTATGCATTTTGTATCTACTATCGCTGCTGAACTCAGCCTGCTCGTGGCACTCGCTCAGAGCCAGAGGAACGCAACAGGCGTCCTGACACTAGCATGCGCGACCTTCTCCCACTTCTCCCCCGTGGCATAGATCTCAACGAGACCGTTGCACTGCCCGCCGACAGCTGCGTACTTGCCACAAGGGCTGACGGACAGGCCGCGAATGCAGCATGCGTTGGTGCGGATCCAGCTCGGCTGCTGCAGCTCACCCTTGGCGCCGAGGGGGATGACGGCGATGGCGTCGCCGCGGTCCTTGATTGGCTTGTGCAGCATGAGCCTGTTGCTCGCAAGGAGGGCTCCGTTGTGGAAAAGGAGCTCGGCGCCGAGCATCTCCCTTGCGTGGTGCGAATGCTTCTCAACGCAAGGCGGGATGTACGATACCGCGTTCACGGGCAACAACATTTTGTCCCCGCCGCTCGAGGGCTTAGGCACAGGCGTCGAGTACACATTGCCGTCCAGCTCTCCGAGGACGTAGAGCACGTCGTCTGTTGTCAGCTGGGAAGGTTACAGCGAGCTTACTGTGCACTACGGCGTGTCGCGGGCCGCTTCCAGGGGTGAGCGTCACGGCATCCTTGATTTCGCCGTCCTCCAGGATCCACACCTTGTCGCTGCCAAGATCGCAGACGAAGATACGGCCGTCGTGCTCCAAGGCGTGGTGAGCGTGCGACGAGTTCTGTCGCTCCGGGTTCGGCGCTTCCTTACCCTGGTAAGCATAGGGAAGAGGGACAAGCTTGTCGTTCCAGAATACGCTGCCGCCAACGTACTGCGGTCAGTTTACTCCCACCCAGTCAACACAACTGTAAGCCGCAGGGGACAAATGAATAAGTTTGAATGGAGGAAGACAGCCGAGGAAGGCCAAAAGTAACTTACGTTCGAAACAACAACGTCGCCCTTGCTGGTAACGAGGACGTGAGCAGGACCGCCGCCCGTCTCCTTCGCGCTCGTCTCCTTCACAGCATCACCGTTCAGCTCAATCCGGGTGACGAGTCCCTTCTCATCCTCCGAGATGCTGTACAGTCCGCCCTTCCCTTCGGCGATCCAGGAAGGGTTTGGGCTGACGTCGCTTTCCTTGATGACTTTGAGCGATTTGGCAGCCGGGTTGAACTCGAGAGTGCTGATTGTATCGCCGTATACGCCGACAAGGATCTTGTAGGACATCTTGGATGTGTGAGTGGGTCTGTCAGTGAAGGTGAGGGATGGGTGAATGGCGAAGAAGACGTTGCGAAGGTCAGCGAACACGTTCCGAGTGACTAGCTGATATGACGTAAGGTGAAGCGCCGAACAGACCGAGCTCTGAAAGTGCCCGAGAATGTTCCGAGCTACCGTGCCAGGGCGCTTGGTGGGCGCTGGAATTGGGCCGGCAGTGCTGACTTTGCGATGAATGTGGAGTTGTGATCAGAGCATCTGTGCGGGAGACTAAGTGATGTCAAGACAGAAGAGGCCTTGTGTGTGGGACCTGTGATGGATTGGGGCCGTCAAAGGCTGACGTTGACCAAAAGCATCCGCTGCCTACGACCACTTCGCTTCCGATGCAACTCCATCACAACGTTCCAATTTTCCTCGCGAAAGCAGTGCTGACTCCAAACTTATGCAAACAGGTGACTAGACGCGTCGCGACGCTAGGGGCCGGGCCGCAGGGGTTGGGACCTGATCCGGCCTCTCCCCTCCCCATTGTCGTCCAGTGCAGGAAGAAAGCGCAGCATCCGGCGTGCGTGGTAGGGTTGCAGGGCTGACCGGGCCGGCGCTCCTGGCGTGTCAGCTTTGGCTTCCGGCTCCTGCTGTAGGGCATGCCACAGACGCCGGTCCGCGGTTGCCGTTGATCCAGATGCCGCCGGCGACACGAACGAGCCCGGACAAGCGAGCGCTGTGATTCGCGCACAGGCTGCACTGGGGTGAGACGTCCTGGCTTCCTTTGGGTTCTTCACACAGCTTTCGGAACCCTGCACTCGGGGACAGTTCTGATCATGAAGGGAGGGGCATCGAAGCAGGACACTTGTCAATGGCCAAGGAGAGGACGGCCTCCTCAATCTGGCATCGTCTCCTTCGATACGACCTGCAGAGGAGGTGGGGCCTGCGGTGAAGAGACCGATGGTCAAGCACGATGTACGGCATGGTTCAGCCGTATTCTGCGCGACCGCGAGTGGAGAATTGAACAAGTGTCTGACTGGCGTGCAGCAATGCTCATGAACCCACAGTCTGCAGATCGGATGAATTGCCGGAAGTTTAGTTCGCACCACCGAGGTCGCTTGCCGCTGGCCGGCAAGGATGGAGTGTACCTGCGCATCATCGAGCGATGGAGAGATGCGATATATCGAGACATGTGGTCCACATGCTGCCACGCCATGCCATGCCGCTGTTTACCATGTTGACCTGTGCGGCTGGCATGATTGGCGCTGGGCAGCGCGGGCTGCTGTGCATTGCTGCTCCGGAGTGCTCGGCTCCGGTCCCGCTGGCTCATCGCTTATAGAGCCCGACCAGCATGAGCGGAATGCTACCTAGCGCAGGGTCTGGCTGTGGACATGTTGGTGCGCAGAGCTATCGAGTGCACCTGAAGGCAGCAGAACCGGTTCTAGCGCGAGCAAGGTGCACAATGCGGACGCGTTGACAGGGGATGATGAGATCGAGAGCTTATACCTCGCTCATGGCAACGTCAAGACATGTGCAGCTCATCAGGCTTCGCTGGGCGTCGATGAATACGACAGAGTTTGACGAACTGAGATCGGAGAACATGGCAGAGACGTGATGATGCCGTTGCAGATTATGCACTAGTCTAGCCGGAACAATGATGCTCGTATGACTGATCATGTCATATCGACAGCCTGCACATGGTGGATTTGTTGATGCGGCTACCCAGCATCGGTAACTTATCCACATGGGCGTCTCTGCCGGAGATGGTATACGCGGTGGGAGCCTATTAAGCGCAACACCATTACAGCAGAGGAGAGGTGGCTAAGCGTCAGGCACGTATGTCCAGGTCAGGTACGCACTCCTGCAGCTGCTGCCGTATTCGGCCATACCAGCTTTTACGGTGCCTAACGTGTCAAGCCTTATCCACTTGAGCTTGTTCCGTAGTGCGGCAGCGTCATCCCGACCGTGTCCAGTCGTGAGAGCGACGCTATCAGTGAGAGAGCGGGCACCAAGGGCAGAGGACTGTGCGTGCGTGCCATAGGGCGAGGTGCGGTGGAATGAGAGACAGAAGCCGCAGATCGGATCGACGAATGAGGAAGATCTGCATGCCCGGCCCGCCCGGACTGCTTCAGCCTCAGCCTGGCACGAACAATAGCGCAACCATGCCCACAGCGCAGGATGGGTGTCCGGGTGAGCCGCACTTACGCAGGGCGCGGGATGGTGGAGGTGTGTGAGCGCAGGAGAGCTAGGAGATCAGGAGAGAGGACGAGGCGCCGGCCGAAGAATCAAAGTTTGGATGGCTCGGCTCGGCTCGGCGGCGGCTGCAAGCAGCGAGTTGCGCCTACAGGTCAGAGTCCCAGTGGCCAAGATGAGTGGATGAGTGGGGTCGGAATCGAAGGGTGAGAGAGTGGGAGGGTGACTCCTAAGGTGCCAGAGTCTGAACTCTGCGGGATGTGCGCCTGCACGCCAACGCCAGGTGGCTGCTGCCCGCTGCGCCGCTGCACACAGCCCGCTGTTCACTGGGAGCCGAGCCAAGCGGCCATCAATCCAGCACGGCGTCGACTCTATTCTTGCCCCGCTCATCCAGCTCAGCCGTTCATCCACTACTGCCGTCGTTTGCAGCCGTGTGTGCCTCCCAGCAAGGCCAACATTCTCGTATCCCAGCATCCTGTCCTCGTCACGCAGCACCCGACCCGCGCCGACCCGCACTCCACTTGCATCATCCATCATTCGAAATATCCATCCTCTGAACATCCATCCATTCGCCATTACACTACTACTCTGTTCCGCCCTACCCACTGAATCTCGCTCCAGCTTTTCTCCGCTCAAGCATTCGGCTGTCCGTCGGCCTGCCTCGTCCACCTGATCCGCCTGGTCGCTGTCCTCCTGACCCGCCTGCCTGTCTGGCTGGTTGGCGATAGGTCCATCGTCGGGATCTACATCGACGCCATCGCGAACCTGTCGTCCAACCACACGCGCGAACAGCCTTTTCGACCCCATCGTCCCTGTGATCCCAGGGCAACTTGAGCAGCCTGACCAGCCTGGCTCGACGCGAGCACCGTACCGCACCGCCAGGCCGCCGACGCTCACGCTTTCTGGCCCACACTGTCCATCCTCCGGCCTCGAATACATTCAGTCCCTCGTCCCTCACCCCTACGCCTCCGCGCCTCCACACCAGGTTCAGCACCCAGGTCCTACAACTGGACCCTCGACCCTCATCACTTTTCAAAAGCGTATTCACTTATCGCCTGGCTCCATCGCCCTCCATCCTCCATTGCCCACTCCAGGTACTCGCTGCTCCAGATCCTCCCGCGGAGCCTGCATCGCCTGCATCCAACCACAGCCCGCTCCGCCAGCACGCCGCACGCGCCGCACCACCCCGCAGCCCTCGCCAGCTCGCAGCCGCCTGGTACCGCCTGAGCCGCTGAGCCGCCTGAGCCAAGCACTGTGACATCGATCCCAGTCGGTCCCAGTCGGTCACCCACTCTCATTGGCCTCCCTGTGCCTTCTCACATACCTTCTCCATCAACCAACTCCCTTACCACCCACATCCACATTTCCAGTCGACTTTTTCGCGCAACACAACGTCAGCCAACATACACGCCCAATGATCGCAGGCACGCCCAGTGCATAGTCGCCAAGTCTTCCGCTGAAAAGGGCATCCGGTCTCTCGTTACCAGAACCTCTCAGCAATCGTAGACTTTGCACTAGCGGCCACCATCGACTTGCAAGCCTCCGAGCATTCAATTGTCTGGGAGCCCAAAGGTCGACTACGTCCGTTAGGCTACATCGATCGTTCCCCTCCTCACTCCTTCGCCCACCTCAACCCAACCAGACGGTCCGCGCGGTGTGGCCGGCGGCGAGAGCCATCACTCGCTCATGATGACTGTCGCTCACCCGCCTGCACCTGACGACCATCCCGCGGCCTACTGCCCGGATCAGTCTTCGCCCACAACACCGGCGCAGCAGTACCAGATGCAACATCAGCGACGGTTGCATGGCGCGGAGACACCACCAGGGGCTGCCGAGGCTGTTGCTGGTGCGCTTAGCCCCCCGTCCGCAAAGGATGCTGGGTTGGATCCACTAGCCATATCTCCGAAAGGGCAGGCTCCGATCTCTGGCGCGGGCTTACCGTCTGAGCGCCAGAGCCCGCAACTCGACGAGGCGCAACCGATGGAACAAACAACAGGAATGCCGGGCAGCTTTCCGGACGACCAAGAGTATGTCTTACATAGGCTTGTCAGCTGCCTGCTTGACGCTGACCCCAACAGCAACTCGTTCCCGGGACCTTCCTCTGCCCCTGCTGTTCCTTCTGTCATTTCCGTCACTCATCCTCCCCACTTCATCCACACGCACCATCCTCGCCGCGGGTCACTCACCCCGCTCGGGCTCAATGTCATTTCGCCTGTCCCACCTCAGCAGGTTCAGCAGTCCCTGGAGGCTGCGTCTGTGAGCTCGTCGCCAATGCGCAATGTGGGTTTCCTCCCTCAAGGATACTCGATGGGTTGCGACCCGGCCAGCCCACTTTCCTCACGACGTGATTCTGTTGCAACAGTAGCAACCACCGCCAGTGCTTCTTCAAACCTGACTGCCACCCGCCCGCAAACGTCCTCCAACTTGAGCACGTCCCGCCGACGATCTTCTCTCACCCCCTCCATCTCGAGCCTCGCGCCCCCCGGAAGTGCAGGTTTTAACCCCAACGCCCGACGTCCTTCGTTGACACCGTCTGTTTCAACACTTGCCGCGCCTTCGCCAAGCCGCGCAACTGCCATGGGCAAGTCGACTCGTACGGATGGTCAAGCTTCATCACGTACAGCCGACGTGCTCCCCCACCAGCGGAGGAGCAGCCTGGCGGGCACCAATCCCTCAGAGGTTCGACGGGGCAGTTTGCCGCAACTGGCGTACAGCGGTTGGGGCGGACCACCGCGTAGCGGATCTCGATCCTCTGTCAATCGCGGCAGCATTGACAACACGGCCCAGATCGACGAGAGTTACAGATTCGGCTCTGGGCCCCCCATGACATCGAGGGACGACACAGCCCTTGGATCTTTACAACGCATCGCTACTTTGACATCGGCCAACAAGCGGACAATGACGGCCTTCGAAGCGGCGGAGGCGCAAGAAGCTGAAAGACAGAGAAGAGCCTTTTTCGCGGCGACTTACGGCGAGGACTCGCGTCGAGCACGGGCACGCCTGAGTCTTGGAGGCCCGTCCACGGCGGGTCCTTCCTCACCCTCAAGCACGCGGCGAACAAGTCTTCTCGTATGGGAACGCGTTCGCAACAAGTCCAGCGATACCATCCCATCCTACGACGACCTCCTCGTTGGTGCGCGACGTCCCAGCTTGCCGGTCAGCATTCCCCCACGGTCGCCAACAGCGGACGACATCCAAAGTTACGATGACCAGAACATCTGGAACGACCCAGACAGCATTGACCCCAATGCCCCGCCGACTCGCCCGTTGCCGCCCTTGCTACCTTTGTCCGACCCTGTCCCACGCTTGCTGCACTCGACACTGGCCCTTCACCGTGCCAACCACCTGCTGAGCTCGCGCAACGTCGAACCTGAACCCCTCCCCTCTCCACTCCCTCCGTCCCTGCATCCGCCCGCACCAGTCGACTTATCAGAATTCGATATCGACTTCATTCTCGCCGGCTCCCGAAGCCAACTTGGAGACAGCGCATCCAGCAGCAGCAAGCGACCAAGTCTTGGTTCATCTGACGAGCACTATTCATCAAAGCCGCCGCTAGAGGAAGAGGATTCGTTTGCCAAATTCGTCGGCGCTTTCGACGACGAGTACGGAGACCGCCGTGGAGATTGGACTTTCCGCTCGGTTCGCTCTCGTCAACCTCTCAGAGGCCGAAACAGTGACGTCTTCCCAGTTGACGAACCCCCTGAGGATCAGTATGTGCGCCCTCGCGCCGAATGGCAGTCACACAAGGGTGGCAAGTTCCAGATGCTGCCGAACGGAGATGTCGTATCCGTCGAGTCGGGCACAGTGTGGTCGGTCAAGCGCACCAACACACGGGAATACGAAATTCAACACGGTTCGCCAGAGGTCCCTGTCCAGCGTCCAGACCCAGGGGTTGTCGTGCCTCCGAATGCGCCTCAGCCACTGGTCATGTCGCAGTACGCTGGATATACTCTCACGAGCAAGCTGGTGCACGCCGAGAGCGGGGGTGTCAAGCTTCCGCTATCGGTTCAAAATGAGCTGAAGGCCCGCAGCAGTCGTGCCCGTCGCTTGACTCGAGCTGCGGCTCGCAGGCGGCAAAGCACAGGAGCGGACGGAGTGCTTAACGGGCATGACTTTACGACTGAGCCCGAGCGTACCTCAAGGCTAAACTCGACTGATTCGACTGCGACTGCGATCGCAGAGCCGCCATTATCGCCTCGCAGTGCTCTGCACAGCTCTACGTCGTCTTCGTCACGCCCTCCCTTGGCTGTTACATCTTCGTCCAACGAGGACACGAAGGGCAAGGGTCGATTCCTCGGCAAGCGAACGGATTCGGACGATGACAAGCACAAGAAGTCCGGGCTCGGCGGGGTGTTCAAGCGGGGACTTTTCAAGGCCTCCAACCTCCTCGATGAGCGCAAGGAGCGCAGTAATAGCAGCAGCCATGCTAAGCCGGTCCTTTCGATCAGCTCGAACTCAAACAACGGCGGGAAGATCCAGTCGCAGCCTATGCGGCAGTCTCCATCAGACCGTAGCGACGCGGCGTCCGCCTCCGCCGACTCGAGCTTCTCAAATCTTGGCGACACGACTGACGACGGCGAAATGTGGGGCGACGATCAGCTGTTTGGCTCTCTCGGACTTGGAATCGAAGACGAGCAGAACGGCGGTTTGCCGTGGAAGGAGGGCAAGGCGTGGGGCGGAGTGCCTGATGAAGCTCTCGCCATGGTTATACCCATCGAGACGGATAAGGGCGAATCGCCGTCGAAGATTCGGCCGCGCCCAAACTCTCAGCAGCTCTTCATTAACCCATTCTTCGTCGATGGCCCGAAGCAGGTCCTACTCGTCTGGTTCACGCCCTTTGGCCAAGGTGATGTTGCTAACACCAACCATCACGGTTCTTCGCAAACGCTGTTCAAGATTCCGGAGCAGCCGCACCACGAACAGGCGGAAGGACCGCAGACGCCGCTGGGACGCCTACCCAAGCTCCTCCGCCCGCGGGGCTCGCACCGTGACTCGCAGCACCGTGGCGGCCTTCACGATGTCAAGCACATCCCCCTCCCGCCTCCGACGTCACCGCCAGTGGAATCGTCTTCCGGCCCCTACCAGATCAGCCAGAGCAAGGAGAGCCACAACCTGCAGCCTCTCCCCTTCAAGGGTTTCCGTGTTGTCGCCAAGGTCGCCGACGCCGAGGACCTGCGTTCAGAGCCCGAAGTCCCCGTGATTGCGCTGGAGCAGTGGACCGAGCAGGTGCGCACCGGCAAGCCGGTCGGCGCGCAGACGCCTCCGCTGGAAGGCATGCCTCGCGTCAGCAACGCCGAAGGCAGCCGGTCTCCCTCGTTGGCCGAAGGTGGCATCAAGCAGGGACGCGAGTTCCCGACGATCATTGCCTTCTGTCATAACCAGAATAACGGTGTGGAGTTTGTCCTCGAAGGCCTTGACCGTCTCGGCCTCTGCAAGGGAGAATCGGCGTGGGGACCGACGGGCTACGAGGAGTGGCGCGGAACAGGCCTCAGCGAGAATGGCCGCCGCCTGCTCGACCTCGTCTGGGCTGGATGCTCGGCTGTCATGGGCCTGTGAGGCTCGGTCGTCAGTCGCAGCATCGAGCAGTAATCATAGAGTGTGCAGTTGAAAGAACAGTAGCAGCAAGCGATTCCGCTAAACCATGTAACAACCTTATAGTTAGTCGAGTGTCTTTCCCGAGTTATTATACAATTGTCTACCTATCTACAGCACGCACAGCACAAGACTCAATGTGGCCTGGACACAGCATAGGGAGACAAACCACACGTCTTGATTCGGAGCTCTCTCATCTTGCATTAGTTTTTTCTTTACGGTACCTCAACACAGCATGCAATTCTGCAACCTTGTATCGACTGCGTTAGTGTGCGAGAGCCGAGGAGCATGTGCGACCAGCGTAGTTTGCAAGAGTAGTGTTTCATCACCAACAAAGATGAGTAATGCCTACAAAAGATTTGTCCCTTGTCGCCTGTAGAGGAGAGCGGGGTTGTTGCTTCTTTCCAAACGCGACGCGACGACGTACGACCGATATATGCCAAATGTGTTTTTTTCTTATGATAGTGTTACAATAGGATGCGCTATCCTACGTATAACTCTCCTATTTTTCTTTTTGCATTGCTGTAAGGGGTTTCCTTACATCATGCCGGGCATGCCCATGCCGCCCATGCCGCCCATGCCGGGCATGGCGGGGGCGCTCTTGTCCTCGGCGTCGACGACGCAGGCCTCAGAGGTGGTGAGGAGCGAGGCGACACCCGAGGCGTCAGAGAGGGCGGTGCGGACGACCTTGAGCGGGTCGAGGATACCGGCCTTGATCATGTCGCGGTACTGCGAGGTGGCGGCGTCGTAGCCCCAGTTGAACTTGTCGGCCGAGACGAACTCGTCCGAGAGGAGGCGGCCGACGACGACCGAGCCCTCCTCGCCGGCGTTGTCGACGATGGTGCGGACGGGGCGGCGGATGGCGTTGCGGATGATGCTGACACCGAGCTTCTGGTCAAAGTTGTCGACCTCGATCGAGTCGAGCTGAGCCGAAGCCTTCAGGAGAGCGGTACCACCGCCGGGGACGATGCCCTCGGCGACGGCGGCGCGGGTGGCGTTGAGGGCGTCGTCGTAGCGGTCCTTCTTCTCACCGACCTCGACCTCGGAGTGGCCACCGACCTTGATGACGGCGACACCACCGCCGAGCTTGGCGAGGCGCTCCTGGAGCTTGGAGCGGTCGTAGTCCGACGTCGTGGGGTCGGCAATGACGCCACGGATCTGCTCGCAGCGGCCAGTGATGTTGCTCTTGTCACCCTCGCCGTTGAGGAGGATGGTGTCGTCCTTGGTGACGGTGGCCGAGCCGGTCGAGCCGAGCTGGTCGGGGGTGGCCTTGTCGAGCTTGACGTCGAGCTCGTCGGTGAAGACAGTTCCGCCAGTGAGGATGGCAATGTCGCCGAGGATCGACTTGCGGTTGTCACCGAAGCCGGGGGCCTTGACGGCGCAGACCTGGAGCTGGCCACGGAGCTTGTTCAGGATGATGGCAGCGAGAGCCTCACCGTCAACGTCCTCGGCAATGATGAGGAGGGGGCGGCGAGCCTGGGCGGCAATCTCGAGCGAGGGGATGATGTCCTGAAGAGCAGAGATCTTCTTCTCCGAGAGGAGAACGAGCGGGTGGTCGAGCTCGGCACGCTGGTTCTTGGCGTCGGTGATCATGTAGGGCGAGATGAAGCCGCGGTCGAAGCGCATGCCCTCGGTGATCTCAATCTCGTCCTCAATGGTACGGCCCTCCTTGACGGTGATGACACCCTCCTTGCCGACCTTCTCCATGGCCTGGGCAATGATGTTGCCGACGTGCTTGTCGCCGTTGGCAGAGATGGTGGCGACCTGGGCAATCTCCTCAGAGGTCGTGATGTCACGCTTGTTGGCCTCGAGAACCGACAGGACCTTGTCGACGGCCTTCTGGGCACCGCGGCGGAGGTCCATAGGGTTGCAGCCGGCGGCAACGTTCTTCACACCCTCAGAGTAGATCGCACGGGCGAGGACAGTCGCCGTCGTCGTTCCGTCACCGGCAGTGTCGTTGGTCTTCGAGGCAACGTCCTGGACAAGACTTGACATCATTAGTACGCGAATTTTATCCGGCGCGAGCAAAGAAAGTTCGCGAGTGACGGAGGTGGGAAAAAAAAAGTTCCACAACTCTCGCTCACGATCTACTCACCGAGCACCGAGGTTCTCAACGGGGTCCTTGAGAGTGATGGCCTTGGCGACCGAGACACCGTCCTTGGTGATCTTGGGTCCACCGAACGACTGGCCTGCGAGTCGTCAGCGGCAAACTCCTTTTCCGACGGTTCCGGGGTGGAGAAAAAAGTGGCTGGCCACCGATCCGAGCTGCGCTCCGTCCTTGCAACAGATACCTACCGATGATAACAGTGCGGCCCTTGGGGCCGAGAGTGGCCTGGACAGCCTTGGCGAGGGTGTCAACACCCTTCAGCATGCCCTGGCGGGCGTCGTTGCCAAAGATAACATCCTTGGAACCAAGGTAGCGGCGAGCGGCGGGCTGCGAGTTGAGCAGGCGCGCGGGACGGGGGAGCGCAGCGCGAGAGCGAGCAAGCATTGTGGTGATGTGGGGAATGCTTTTTGCAGGTGTGTAAGGAAGAGAGAAAGAAGGAAAAGACCAAGTTATGTAGCCTGGTTTAGAACGAGGGTGATTCCTTGGGTTCTGACTGGATGGAGAGGGATCAAGGAGAGCGGTTCTTGGATCCTTCGGCAAAAAGCACAGGCTTAGGCGGTGGGTGACGCTGTGTGGGCCAGCCCCGTCAGTCAGCCTGGATCTGCGTCTCTGCTACCAGCGCCTGCCCGCATGCATACGACCGCCGCCTCGTGCCGCAAAGGAACGGATCACGGCGGAACTTGACTTTTCCAGCCAACCGTGGAAAAGTTCTGGAAAAAGTCAGCACTTTCACGACCCCTCCACCATCATCCCGTGATCCGATTGGTCCCGCCGCGAGCTCACCCACTGCCTGCAACCGCGTGCCCTACGCCTGGTCATAGCCGAGACGGATCTGGACCGCACGCCAACAAGAAGCAAAAAGTTCTGGTTTACGTCTTCCTCATCGACATCACTCACAATGGTCAGTCGCCAACTCACAACAGCAAGCGCATGACACTAACAGTGCAGGCCGCCACCTTCAAGAACATCAAGAGCCTCCAGCCCCTCTTCGACCGCGTTCTCGTCCAGCGCTTCAAGCCTGAGACCGTGAGTGACGGAAATGCCCGAGTGCTACGATTCTGGAGAGACGGAGGTGCAACAGGCCACACGGCTGTGGAAAGGCGCCAGAGGGCGCTCATTCGAACTCTGCCAACCGAGGATCAGTGAACGGGCATGGATCAGAACACGCGCGGTAACCCGCCTCTCGCCAGCAAACCTCTGCAGAGATTCGTTCTACTGCGGACGTTGACCAAGCTCCTGTTTTGCATGGTGCCCCCGCTTCAGTTTCCTCTGCAGATTGAGCTGTCCTAACGCGCCTCTGGAAGTGTTTGGACACGATATCCGACGGAAGGCGGAGAAGGCCGAAAAGCCAAGGCGCAGTGTTGGCCGAGACTAATTTTTGCGCTTACTTGTCGGGAGTGTTGTCCTCCGACGAGTAAGCGTCGGAGCATACGTGACGAGAACGTTCGAGCTCGGCGCGTCCTCTGCAGCGACGCACAGCGTCGCCGACGTCGTTTCCGACTTGTCGGAGCCTGCCCTGTCCCCGGAATCGTTCCCCTCGGGCCTTCGTTCATCAGTTCCTGTTAGCTAATGTCTAGAAAACCGCTTCGGGCATCTTCCTTCCTTCGTCTGCCGCCTCTACCCCTCTTCCCGAGGCTACCGTCATCGCTGTCGGCCCCGGTGCCCCCGGCAAGGACGGCAAGGTCGTTCCCACCTCCGTCCAGGCTGGTGACCGTGTTCTCCTTCCTGGCTGGGGCGGATCCAGCATCAAGGTTGGCGAGGAGGTGAGTTACCAATCCTGTTTCTCTCGTTTCCTGCTGTGAGCGCTCGTGCCTATGTGCTTGTGCTCGTGCTCGAGCAATCCCGGCTGCTTCGTCTAAGTTTCCACTCGGCTATCAGTTTAACCTGACCATGATCCGTTCGGAGAAACTTGATTGGCTGGTGGACATCCCTCATCTCTATTTTTCCGCTTGGCCCTACCAGTCCATCGCGAAGCGAGCTTTGTCTCGAGTAGACGAGCTCTGAGTTGCCCTCGTCGTGGCGTTAAGGATAGGTGGGGCGGATAGGTTTGCGTCCGGTAGGGCAGTGGAGGTTGCTTTCCTCCAAGCAACAATGGAGGTTGCTTGGTCGGAGGTTACTTGGTCGTCCCAACACTGAAAGCGAGGGCTTCCACAGCGCTAGCCATTGAGGCATTATTTCCTCGTCTTGGTTCTGCCATTGTCTTTCGGGCGCCGGACACCTGGATCTAGCGTGGTTTTCTTCATTGTCCCAGCACATTCTGAGGCAGTTGGAGACCAACAAGCAGTTCGATCACCATTCCCTCGGAGTGAAAGTTCTATACGGCCCCTTTTCTGCTCTCACTGTGACAGCAATGGGCAGACTTTGTGGTAACGCTGTTCCACATTTGGGGTCTTGTGAAGCCATTGCCGGCGGGAAGGGACTCCATTCCAGCGGAACGTGCACAGCGAATGGCCCAGCTGTATGGGGATCTCCGTCGCTAACGGCGTTTGCTTTCGCGTCGGTGCTATCAGCCGCGAGGTAGAGCTATTCATTGCTCTGAAGATTGAAGTGGACCCATTCACGCGGGACATGGCTACCGAGCATGAGTTCGGGACCGCACGGCTGCCACGGCTGTTGAGTGACAACGCAGAGTCAGCGTTACCTCTTCGAACTATCATTGTTCCGCCTAACGCCTCAAAGACGTCGGAGAACGAGGCATGGAAGCGCGGAATGGGATAATCCGATGTAGCACGCGGTACCCAGATCTTGTTACGGCCTCCTTGGAGTCCGGTTAGCGCCGGAGTATCCATCAAGTGCCGGCGCCAAAGCGGTCGGGGTGAACACGGGTCGATCTTAGGCCGTTCCAACGGAAGGCCGTTGAAGGCATTGGCGCGGCTTGGCGCTGCTAGCCCGTTCGAGGTCATGCAAGCGCACAAGACAACGCGGAGCTATGACGAGCCGGAGTCAGCACAAGATCACAGCAGACACAGAGGGATGACGAGGATTTCACACCGTACATCCGAGTGACGCAGGCTGACGTGATACAGGAGTACCAGCTCTTCAAGGACGCTGAGATCCTTGCCAAGATCAACGAGTAAATGGGTTATTGGAGAAGCATATGCATAGCAATCATTTGTCAGTCGTGTGCACGTTCGTGAAACAACTGTGAGTCATGTTGAGTCAGAAGCCGTAGGGAGATCCGTCAGTGTGGCCAGGTCAGTGGGACAGTTGAACGTAAATCACTCAAAACTAAAATCACTCACTCACGTCGTCTGCCTCTCTCCATTGACGGTCAGCGGAATGTATCTAACGAGAACTGCCTAAAGTCTGGCTCACCATACCTTGCGGACAACTCTAAACTCTGTGCGGGCGATCTGGGACACCGTCAAACGTCTAGCGCCCTCTGGTATCCGTTGACGTGATCCAAACCGGCGCCCGGAATGCCACTAACACAAGATCTTCCCGGATGATCCAACTCTGTGGCGCCTCGTGATCTTCTGATGCAGTTGAGACAACCGCCTCGAAGCCAGCCGCGGCAGTCAACCGCTTTACATGCCGACGGTCATCGCAGCAAGACCGCTCGACGTCTCGCTATGCTTCCCGAAGCGTCGCCGGTCTCGCCTATGTCGCCAGCGGCGGCGGAGGTGCGGCGCTGCGCAGCGGAGCAGCAGCACTTGGGGGTGCACCCCATGTTCTAAAGTTCTACCGAACAAACGAAAGGAGGAAGCAAACGACATACGACAGCGACGATGACGATCCGCCGACATTTCGGCCTCGCTGCTCGTGCGCCGATGTCCTTGTCGCCGTATGTCGGTGGGTTCTTCGGATTCTGTCAGTGGGTTTTGCGCAGTCGCGTACCCGAGAGTTTCGTGGGTAGAGAAGCAGTCATGGCAACAGGGTCAGAAGGTGACTAGCGGGTGATGTGCAGGGCATCGATCACCAGATGCATCAGATGCAAAAGGTCGCCGGTGTGGCCTCCTTTTGCCTCCGATGTGTGGCCGGCGCACCGGAGGGCTGGTGGAGTCGCCGTGCGCCGCTTGTGTGCCGAGCGCCGGTCACCGGTGTTTTGGCCGGCACCACTGCTGCGGACGGGCTGCACATCAGGTGTACGTCAAGGATGACGGACGATGACGGGGCCATGACGGATTGTGAGGGACGGGAGGAGTGGGACCTGCAGAAGCGGCACTCGCCGACCCGGGCAGCAGACCCGTTGGAAGTCATTCACGCGCGCCGTCGGATTCGTTTGGGACACCTCGGCCCTCTGTGAATGGTCGGAGATATTCATCGCTCCTGTTTTTATCAATTGATGAACATTTTTCGAGGTCGACCCGCGCTTTCGATCTCAGTTCAGCCGTTTCTTCATTGTCACTGCGCCGCCATGCCGAAGGGATGCATTGAGCAAAGGGCTCCTTCTATTCTTCTTTGCGCCGCACACGGCACAAGGCCCTCTATCTGCTGCCTGCGGCGTGGACACAATGAATGGGCCAGGTGACATTGACACAGCGCCGCTCCCACCCCGTCCACTTTGTCTTACTGCTGACAATGGCGTGCCGATGTGCGTACCAGATCGGCACACTGGAGCACGCTCCAGCATGTGCAGGGGCTGAATGGGCCAAAAGCGGCATGCCGAGCTCTAGTGCGATTCAGTGCCGATCTTCCGTCGCCCCAAGACCGTGCGATGGTCATGTGGACCTTGCTCGCTTCCATGTAAGACAATTGGAGCTGATGGAGCAGTTGATTCCCAAACATTATCCAGCACCGGGGCCGGCGATGCCGATGCCGTTGTCGTGCTGTAGCAGCTGAAGACGTAACACAAAACAGTACCAGGCGAGGTGGGGAATGTGGGCCGGCTCGGTCTCCTTTCGAGCGATCGACGAGCACGTCGGTAAGTCAGTAACGTTGCTCGGTTGTTATCATGGTGAGGTCATGGATAACGAATGAGAGCAAACGACCACAGTGGGGCCGCGCGTCTCACGGGGGGTCGGGGTTTTCGGAGGAACGTCAACCGGCCGGTTATCAGTGCCAGCAGCTCGCGTATTGATCACGGGGGGTCGGGGCTCGCGGGACGAGTTCCTTCAAGGTCTATCTGACAGTGCTGTCTGCAGGGTGATCGCTGTGAACCCGACGCGGGTGAACCAAGATGCAAAGGGTATAGCCCATTGACGGCTGCCACAGACGAGACATGACACCTGACGTTCATTGGAATACAAGGATCAATGAAAGCACTCCCGCCACTAGTCCGAAAGCCCCGGCTACCCCGCCCCCACTTCATCTTCCAGATCCCAGCCTCGGCACACGCATACCCTAGCGTCGGGCTAAAGGATCAACTTATCTGGCTCCTTTCTTCAGGTGACCCGAAAGTGACAGGGAGTGCCCGATGCCGCTCCGTGGGAGACGTAGTGTGCTTCTAGCAACCCTTGTGATCGCGGAGCGCGGCGCGGAGACGGACACTTTGGTGCGATGCGGAGGCTCCAGACTCAACGTAGACTACTCCACCGAGCTCACGTAGCCGCACCCGCAGGCTAAGGAGGTCAGAGAGAGCATTGAGGCGAATAAACATTATCAAACCCCGATTCATCCCGCCACTTACGACCTGAGGTTGACCTGAGGCTACATTCTCTGGGTCGACGCTCCCTGTGGTCGATCGACTAGTTCATCTGGTGTCCTAGCTCAGCACTGGAGAACGGTAAATCGCAGACCCAAGAAGCTAGGTGTTTATGCCGACACAAGATTCAGCCGGAATGGGGTTGACGTCAAAGGTCACAAGGCCAGCGCCGGTTCCGGGGCCGCTCTGCTAGCCTAAGAGTGTGGGCTCTGCAGCCAAATCGCTCACCAGCCTGACTGCGCGAAAGTGCCGCAACCCAAGTGTTCCCAGCTTGTCGATCGTCTGCGTTCAGGGCCTGTTGCAGTCTGCGACAGGCAGACTCAGCTTCGGTTTAGGGAGGTCGTTCGCTTCTTGAGGATAGGGTCAGGCAAGTTGACAAGCCCCACTTGACAAACACCTCAGCCTCATCATGATGCCATGAGAAGAGAGCGAGAAGCAAGCAGAGAACATGCAGCGAAGAACACGGCGGTGTCGCGATTGGGCGGTCCTGCCCTTGACCCTAAGCTTCTGTGAAGCCGAAGAAAGACACTGTTTGAGGGGGCTAGAACGCTTGTTGCAGGGTATTCAGGACTCGGAAGGTTGTGTCAGTGCATGTGCTACTGCGCTCTCGTCGGGTGGGCTGAGCGGGAAGGACCAAAGTGAGACGTTCCGTAATGGATCCGCCTGAGGAAGCCGCTCTACGCGCCGCGATTGGGCTCGATAGGCTAGCTCGGTCGTGACAATTGTTCAAACTTCAGCGCGAGGCCTGAAGCTATTCACGGTCTCAGTATACCCATTGAGACGATCGATTCGGGGGTGTTCTGTTCATGTCGGCCCGCCCAAACCGCAGGAATGGCTGTGGCACTGGTGACCGGATCGCGCCTTGGGATCCAGTGGCATCTGTATGTGCGTCTCGCATGTAGCGGCCGCAGCGGTGACTAATGCAGGGGAAGGCAGAGATAGCGCACGAAATCAGCATTGGCTTGCGCCGCTCTAGTGTTGTGTCGAAATGCCAACAGCTAACGGAGTACTGAAATAGGCACTGTATTCAACAAAGTTCAGACCCATCGTATCGGAGGCTGGCAGTTTCGGAGAGAGCGTTTCCGTTTAACCTTATGGGGCACTGAGAGCCAGAGGCACCCGCCAAAGTTCAGATCAAGCGACAGCGGACAGCCTGCAGGAGCCTGCGCGGCCCGTCTGCGATTGAGACTGACTTTCTGAGACTGAGACCGAAAAGTTGTCTGATTGCTCCACTCACTGCAATGGCTGCAAATCCAGCAAAGCCCGTCATTATGTCGTGACTCCCTTCAGTCCCGGTCTTGCGATACCGGAATGCGAAGGATCCCTCAACCTCCCAGCGTGCCGGCGTCGGCACGCTTCGGCCCTCATCGGCTTGTGGTGCAAAATACCCCAGATACGGCGAACGATGACGAACCCAGGC